GAGGGTGCCCCTCTCCCTGAAAATTTAACCCCCCCCCCCTCTTATGGGGTAGTGTCGCCTTAACCTAAGAGATACTCAAATTATTTGTACACCAAGTCGCCTCGAGACGCAGTGTGGGTTGAGCCATAAGGGTAGGTTGGGGACCTAACACTCCCCGACCCATTCTTTCAAAAATATATATATATATATATATATATATATAAATAAATGAGAATCAAATATATGTAATAATAAGGAAAATGACAGAATGCACAAACTAGTCTTGTATTCCTCCTTGGATATCGGCATATCAAGGACTAAAAGCTAGCTTCCACTCACCCATGTGAGAGAGAAACAAAAGCTCTCTCTCTCTCCCTTTCTTCTTCCTCCTTTTCGCGCGGATTGCAGATCATAGAACTTTTCTCGAGAAAAGAATCTGCAATGGCGCTCATGATCATCTATTCAGCCATCAATGGTTTAAAATCCATGTCGAAGCTCGCTCATTTTGCTTCTTTTCTTGCTCTTTTTCTTCTCTTCTTCAGCCCTGAATCAGCTGGTTAGTACCTCGCTACTCAGTTCTTAGTTCTTCATTTCTCTTCCTTTCACCTTCCTTTCTACAGATCGTCATTTGGTTATTCTCACCAAAACTATTTTTGAATTTTAATTTTTTTCTTATGATGCATGTTCTTGAGAGGATGCGAAATTTCAATTTTCAGGGTTTCCGAAACCTAATTTCTTCATACGTTGAAGTATGTGGGATATAAATTTAATTTTATGGCAAATTGATTCTGATTTTTGTCGTTGGGATATGTTTATAGTTTATTTTGATTGGATTTGGGGCCCTCAGAAGTATCTCATCAGATATTCTGCATGTGCTTTTTTTGATTTTATTAAATTCAATTTGGAGGCCGTTAATGGCCATGAATCCTTCCAGCGAGAATAGAATATGTGAATCCGCTATGTTTGATGGAAAACCCTGTGGAGATTTTGCAGCTCAAATTGAGCAAACTCTGATTTCAGCTGTTCTAGTCTTTCTGTCAATACTCTGTTTGGCAATAATATTCTTGCTGATTTTCATAACATTTTTTTTTTTTTGCAACAATTCTACAACTATTTTCATAGATTGTTACATTCCCCACAAATGATCCCTTAATCTATGCTAATTGCATATTTGTAAACTTGGTTGTTGCTCCCGAGCTGCTCTTCTCAAGGTGAGCTCAACTGTAGACCTGTGAAGTATTTTCTTAACACTACATGTGTTAGAGAAATGTTTTAGAGAAGGAACATGGGGCTAACATTAAAAAAAAGGGAAATTTACATAGATACCACACAATTCTTTTGTATTTACATATCTAATACCGGAGTTAATCAAAACCACAAGAGGAAAAACCAAAATATTATTACTGAATGCTAATATAAAGTTACAACCGACACACTTGAAAGGGAAAATACAACAACATGACACCCAAAAATACGAAATAGCAACATACACTATACAAATACTCAAACTAGTGTGGATCCCGTGGCGATGGTGGTGATGGTGTTAGGCTGCGTGGGGGTGGAAAAGATAGTTGGCAAGTAGAAAACAACAAGATGGCTTTTTCGCCAGTGCTGGACAGCAAGCAAACAACATGGAGCGAGGTGGGAGGGCTGTCCGGGGTGATGGCATTAAGGAGGGAGGGCTTAAATGGTGGCAGAAGTAAGGCGGAAGGTCTGGACAGCAGTTCGGAGGCAGGGACATGGTCCGGGATGGCCGGAACAACAGTCAATGGGAGAGAAAGAGGATTTCTGGTGTCTGTAACAACAGGAAAAATTATTCCATGCGGATCGGCGTCCGCACGCAAGCTGCGTGCGAACGCCGATCCGCATGGAATAATTTTTTGGATGCATGCGGTGTCCGCACGCAATAATCTCCCCTGTAACAGCGAGGCCACCAAGTGGGAGTGCTGGAATCGCAAGGAACTTTGGTTGGAATGAAAAAAAATAACAGGAAATTGTTGTTTCTGAGCAGCTGCAGCAAGGGGGGATGATAGTCACAGCGATGAGGAATGCTACGGCCTGGGGGACTGCAGCAGCAAGAAGATGGCTGTCCGGGGTGGTGGCAGCGAGGACAAGTGGCTAAAATCGAGAAACTGTAGGAAAAACAACAATATGCGGCTATTTAGTGGCGGTGCAGCAAGGGAGGGCAGCCGGGAGCACTGTAGGGAGGATGCAGAAGAGAATAGAGAAAATAATCATCACTTGAAGACCAAGATACTACCGAAACACTATTTAGAATCCTTGGATTCAGCCCTCGACTGGAAGAAGAGATGCCAACAGCTGCCTTGATATAAAACACATGAAAAACTACAAATCTCATACAAAGGAATCACATAAATAAGCATTAGAGACTTAGGATTGGACCTCCCTATGGAAAGGAGGAGCCAAACCAATGCGGGGGAGCTGGTTGAACTCCCATGTCTGAGCCAGTTCGGTCCAGACGATGGAATCGCGGGATTGAATCCCATGCCTCTTTATGCCTGCGTAATTGAGTGGTAGAAATATTAATATCTAACACCTAAAATTTGATATTTACATTTATAATACTTTGGTGTCATAATCCTATGTATTTCAATTTTAAAAAGTTAATAATGGTGATATTTTTGATGTGATGTTAACATTTTGAGTGTTAGAAATGTAAATATGAAAGTTTTAGTGTCAGATATGTAAATACATAAGAAGTGTGGTATGCATGTAAATACCCCTAAAAAAAGAAAAAAAAAACATTTGGCGTCAGATTGAGTTATGAAGCCGTTTTTGGTTAATGGAATTCTTGCTCTAGTTCAACTGGCTCCACTTTGATTACTTTCTAATAATCTTTTTGTAGATCTCAACCTTAATGACACTTTTAATCGAACTGCAATTTCTTGTTTTGTTTGCGAGTGATTGATTTTTCTGAATAATATGTTTGATATTATTAAATTGAAGTTACGAGTTGTTAATCCAAAAACATTAATACTTCAAATTCTATCTTTTCAAGGTTTTCTTTCCTGGATATTTCTTTGATTTGGTTTGATGCATCTGAAAATACTGATAAAATTTTAATTTTCATAAACCAAAATTGTTTTAACAAAGGAAATAATTTCTTCCATTTGATAATCCTCATTTCTTTGTTTACTCAGATGCCTATGATTCTCTGGACCCCACTGGGAACATAACCATCAAATGGGATATAATGCAGTGGACTCCAGATGGCTATGTTGTAAGTTCAATTCACTTCTAGTAAAAAAATTGATCTCTTTGTTTCAAGTTCATGATTCATTAAAAAAAAAGGAAGAGCTGAGCTACCTGCTTATCACTCAATTCTTATGCATCTACATATCTAACACCTAAACTTCAATTTTTTATATATATGCCATTTTGCTTATGCATGAAAAGATTCATTTCACCTTTTAAAAGTTAAAATAATGGTATTTTTTATGTGATACGAAACATTTGGATGCTATAAATGTAAAAACTACAACAACAACAAGCCTTTATCCCACTAAGTGTGGTTGGCTACATGAATCATTTTTCTCCATTGCATCTTATTGACTTTCATATTTTTATTTAATTCTAATAAATTAAGATCACTTTTTATACAATATGCCTAGATTTTTGTAGGTCTACCTCTGTCTTTCTTAATATAAGTCGAATCTAAAACATCTATTCTTCTAATTAGATCATTAGATGGTCGATGTTTAATTAGACTAAATCATGTAAGACGAATCTCTCTAATTTTGTCTGTCACTGCAGCTATACCAACCCTATCACAAATATATTCATTTCTCATTTTGTATCTAAGTGTAAAGCCACTCGTCCACCTGAGCATTCTCATGTTTTATGCTTCTCTTTTAAAAGCCCAACATTCTGCTCCATAGAGCATTGCAGGTCTCAACATTGTCTTATAAAATTTTCCTTTCAACCTAAGCGGTACTTTTCTATGACACAATAGCCCGAAGCATTCTTCCACTTCAACTAACCAATTTGAATTCTACTAGTACCATCCCCATTTATATTACCATCTCAATGAACAATAGATCGGAGATATCTAAAGGACTTGCACTTTTTAATAAAAGTTATGAATGTAAAAAACAAAATTTAAATGTTCGTTATGTAAATGCACAGTAATTGTGTGGTGTGTATGTAAATGTCCCCCTAAAAAAAACATTGAATCAAATTACGTAAATTCTCAGGCCGTTGTTACCATCAACAACTACCAGCAATATCGCCACATTCAGTCGCCAGGATGGATATTAGGATGGACGTGGTCGAAGAAGGAGGTTATATGGTCTATGGTTGGCGCACAAACTACCGAGCAGGGAGATTGCTCGAAATTTAAGGGAAATATTCCTCATTGCTGCAAAAAAGATCCATCTGTTGTTGATCTTCTGCCCGGAACTCCATATAATATGCAAATAGCTAATTGTTGCAAGGGTGGAGTGATTAGTTCATGGGTTCAAGATCCACCTAATGCTATCAGCGCATTTCAGCTCAGCGTCGGCTATGCAGGTACAACAAACAAGACGGTTCGTGTGCCTAAGAATTTTACGCTCAAAGCTCCCGGTCCCGGGTATACTTGTGGAGCTGCGAAGATTGTGAAGCAGAGCAAGTTTGTTACCTCCGATGGAAGGAGAACAACACAAGCACTAAGTAAGTTAATATATTTTTGATTCCGCCTATACAATAATCGTTTCTTATTTTGTTAATTACAGTAAACTGAGAGCCTTTATGTATATAAATCCTTGAAAGCAAGTTTTTGATGATTTCTGCAATATTCAAACTGGTTATATGGTAGTGCATAAATTTTTTTCGAAAAACTACTCCGAATTCACTAAAAGGGTTGTAAAATCTTAATGTTTGCATGCACTTAATTTGTTCTTAAAATATGATAGATATCATAGCTTATGGCTTATGCAATATGCACTAAGTTGTTAACTTATTTTTTATTCCACCTATATGTTAATTGTTTCTTATTATGTTAATTAGAGTAAATTGAGAGCCTTTATGTTTGTAAATCCTTGAAAACAAGCTCTTGATGATTCCTGCAATTTTCTAACTGCTTATATGGTGTTGCATAAAATTTTTTGAAGCTTTACATGCATGCCACTCAATTCCTATGTATTTACATATCTAACACCTAAAATTCAATTTTTACATATATTTGTCACCTTACATATATGCATGAAAAGACGTATTTCACTTTTTAAAAGTTCTAATAGTGGTTTGGGTGTGAGGAATGTAAAAAAGCAAAGTTATGTCAGATGTGTAAATACATAGGATTTGGGTGGTTTTTTACTTTAGTTATAATTGTGGTATTTTTGATGTATTTCACTATGTATTTACATCATCATCATCATTAAACTATCCAACTGCTTGGGAGCGGCTAAAATATAATAAAGATTGCTCCAATTATTGCCTAAAATCTTTTGCGGTTAGCTTTCTCTAACTAATGATAACCAAAAAATCATTTTTATGTTCTTTTGGACATTTACCTCCTGTGAAAAATTGTAATTTCATAAATCATAGATCTATCATAGCTGTTTAAACAAATAATTGCATTTCTTTACTGTTATTGCAGTGACATGGAATGTGACATGCACCTATTCTCAATTTCTTTCCCAGAAGACTCCTTCATGTTGTGTCTCTCTTTCTTCTTTCTACAACGATACTATCGTTAACTGTCCAACATGTTCTTGTGGCTGCCAAAACAATGTCACTCATCCCGGGAGCTGTGTGGAGTAAGAAACTGCTTTAATGTCCTCAGCTTTCTAAATGGCTCATACATATATATATATATATATATATATACATATATATATACATACATATATATATATATTACATGAATCATAGCCTAGGAAAGATAATAAAAATGAAATAATATGAAAGAAAAGATATATTACTTAATATCTTCAATTAATCAATTCATATTAATTATTTGAAGATAAAAGAAAATAATATAAATTAGGAAAGTATAAAATAAGAAAGAAAATAACTTCTAATCCAAAGAAATAAATATAAAATAGGAAAAGAAATAACTCCTAATCCAAGAAAATAACTTATTCCTTATAACTTCTCAGGGCAAAAAAATATTTCCTAATATAATTTCTAACACTCTCCCTTAAGTTGAAATATGATTGAAAATCATGTTCAACTTGGATTTGAACACATCAAACAATGGGCGAGGGAGATCCCGTGATGTAAAACTTAAATTCTTTATCCCGTACTGTAGTTTTCATGACTTTAGTTATTGCATTGTTTGTAGGTAGGTGGAAGATTCTTACAGGTAGTGCTTCAGGGGAGTTTCCAGGGAAGTAGACTACAACGGTTGGAGTTCCTGCAGTGTTTGTAGGTAGACGGAAGACTCCAATAGATAATGCTGCAGGGGAGTTTGCAGGGAAGTAGGCAACCAATAGAAAAAGTTGCAGGGTATGGTCTGCATGAAAAGAAAAAGATCCAGAGTCAGCCCTTGCTGCAGAAAAAGCTCCGGAGAAGGGTCTGATACAAAAAAAAAGCTCCAAAAGAGGGTATGTTGCAGCAAAAGCTATAGAGGAGGGTCCGCTGCAGGAAAGATTCCGGAGGAGGGCTTGACACAAAAAATGTTTCGAAGGAGGGCCTGCTGCAGAAAAAACTCCGAAGAAGGGTTTGATTCATAAAAAAGAGGAAAGATTTCAGAGGAGGGCTTGACACAAAAAATGTTTCGAAGGAGGGCCTGCTGCAGAAAAAACTCTGAAGAAGGGTCTGATGCATAAAAAAGTTTCGGAGGACCTTCTATAGAAATAATTCCGGAGGGGTACATGTTGCAGGAAAAACTCTTGGAGAAGGGCCTAATACAGAAAAAAGCTCCGAAGGAGGTGTTGTAGGAAGCAAGATTGCTGGAAACTAGGAAGCCGAACTGCTGGAAATTAGGGAAGCCGGACTGCTGGAAACCAGGATCTGGCGTAAAAAACCAGTAGGTGTAAAGCAATCCTTCACAACAGAAGCATGCAAAAAGGATTGCTCCACCAGCTTTGTATAATGACACTAATCTCTCTTTTGAATAAAACCACTGTAACGTGGGTGTCCATGACAAATTTTTCTTCAGAAGTTGGGTCAGCCAAAATATATTTACCGTGGACCATGCATGTTAGTGAGAACTAGACAATTGCAATAACGAGCTTTCTAGTTTCTTTATTAATCGGCTCTACTGCTTCGCGTTTATGTTTATCACTTTTCCAACATTATTTAATGTAACTGAAGGAATCTGCAAGTGAGAAATAATTGCTGTTGCTGAAGTAATGCAGCATCAAAACGAGAGCCATCAACATTAGGACAATAAATGTGCAAATATCCCATCCAAGTCGCCTTTCCACTGGTTAAAGAGAGCTCTTTCAAGTTTATCATGCCATAACTCATTATGACATCTGAAAGTTGCTCTATATGACCTTGAGGGAAGTAGAACACCCACTCAGCCACGTGTGGGACAAACACCAGAGGGCTAGCGCTCGCGTGTTAGAGCTCTTTGTACAACAACTCCTCGGCCTCTTTCCCGATAGACAAGACGATCTGTGCTGGACAAAGAGAAGCTATCTCCATCGCTATTGGCGCCATTGGTCTTCATGGAAACTTCCGAAGACTCCATCTCGAGTGAACGCAACCCGAGATCTCACATCCACGGTACAACAAGCTAAGATTTCAAAGATCCTCCGACGCCAAAGCATCACAGGAAAGAAAATCGGTGCGGGAAAATAGATTGACGACTAAGACTACTCAAAAACCCTAGAAATCGATGTAGGTAGGGTGTTGTACTACACAACGACTGGAGATATAACATTTGCTCCCCTTTTCGCTTGCTTGAGATAGCTACCGCTTCCCACTTGCGACACTCATTTTCTCTTTTGCATAGAGAGGAGCAATGAAGGATGAGGGATGTCTTTAGGGGAGGAAGTTTCCACCAGTAAAACTGAAAAAAAGGTGCCAAGGAAGGGCCTGCAGCATGACAAAGATTGCTGACTACAGAGAATAGAAAGTTTCCGCCGGTAGGAGACTCTATAGTTTGTTTCAATGCTTTGATAGAGAATTTGACTCTGATGTCATGTTGAAATTTAGAATAATGCGAAATTAAGTGATATTTTTTATTGATATAAGAGGGAGTATAAATAACCCTTACATAAATTCTAGAATCGGAAAGATAATAGAAAAGAAATAATATGAAAAGAAATATATATTACTTAATATCTTCAATTAGTCTATTCATATTAATTATTTGGAGATAAAAATAAATAACATAAAATTGAAAAGCCTAAAATTAGAAAGAAAATAACTCAATCTAAGAAAGTAAATATAAATAGGAAAGGAAAAACCTCCTAATCTCAGAAAATAATTTATTTCTCATAATTTCTTACAAGAATAAATTATTTCATAATATAACATATATATATATATGGATTTGAACACA